TCAAGGCAGAAAAATAAAATGGCCTCTTTCTCTCCACTTAACAGACAGCCAAGGTTTCCTTTGAGTCCTTGCTATGATTTGGGTGTGAGGAGTCCCCCTAAAGTTCCCGTGCTAAAGACCTGGTCCCCAGCACAATATGTGCAGTGGTGATTGCTCATAAAGTCTCTGATGTCATCAATGTATGGATCCATGGATGGATTCCTAGCTTAGTAGACTTGGGGGAGGAAGACCATGGTTATAAAATCTCAATTTCTCTTCCTCCCCTCTCCCTGACCTCCTCTGTGTCCTGCCCAGCTTATGACTTTTTCTTTTTTCTTCTGCCACATGCTCTGGCCACATGCTCCCTCACCAAAGATCTGATAGAAAAGGGGCCAAACCACCTGCAGGAAAGTTTTGAAACCTTCATCAAAATAATCCTTCCCTCTTCTGATTTTTCTCTGGCATTTTATCACAGTGATTTTAACACGATTCTCTAAAGTAAAAGCAAAAAACGTGAAAACTCCCCCTCATCCCTTTTTCAGAATTTTCCATCCCAAGGCATGGCAATTGGGAGGGGAACTTGGGGACAGAGGCAGAGAGCAGAGAAGGGAAAGTGCTCCTCTGTAGCAAGTGCCTTCTGTCCCAGGAGGTGTCAGATTGCTCCCCTTCTCCAAGGTGCCTGTACTCCTGGTTCACATAAAAACATGTTTGCACGCTAGCTTAGGGTGGAGAGAACAACTGCCACCCGCTGCACAAAAGTCCAGCTGGCCCCATGACAATGTTTGCATCAATTCTGATGCAACCCTCTTCCCCAAGCTGATCTGACCCTGATGGTGGCCTGAGAGTTGAGGGTGTACTGCACTAGGCGGCATTCCCCAAAGATCTTTTGGAGCTCCACATATGATGCAGAAGGAACTCAGTCACAGGGAGAGTAGTGAATGGCTTGATTTAGAGCACAGAAAACCTTCTGATGAGATGTGGTGGTACACACCTGTAATCCCAGAACTGGAGAGGTAGAGCAGGAGGATTAAAAATTCAGGGTCTTGCCTATTGTGTTTGAGGCCCTGAATTCAATTCCGAGTACTGGGGTGGAGGTAGAGGTATCAAGAGTTCAAGGTCATCCTCAGCTACATGGCCAACTTAGACTACGTGAGACCAGTCTTTCACCTTTGCCCCCAGAGCACTCTGTATTCTCCAAGTAAATGTACCCACCACATTTTAGCATAGATGTTTACACACTAGGTATGTTGAAAAGGAAACACTTAAAAATGGGGGTCTTTTATTGCTCAGGCCTGGAACTCCAGGGACCCCCTCCCCCCCCGCCTCAGCCTCCTGACCAGCTGGGACTATAGAAATACACCACCAGGCCTGGTGAGGAGTTAATTTACAGTGACAAACTTAGACATACAAAATGGAACCATTTCTTCTTTTCTTTAAATCCAATCTTTCCTAACTCCGATACCCTATCCCGCTGGGCTTATGGGAACTCCAGGCACACAGAATCACTTGAAGGTTATCCTGGTCTTTTCCAGAGAATATTTAAGGACTTCCTTCAGTTCTCTCTGCTTGTTGCTGATGGGCTTATAGGAAATCACCATGAGAACCCCATCTCCTCCTCCACAACTCATCCTCAGAGACCTAAGCTTTCTAGGACAGGCAATGCTGTCAAGCAATTTTTGGTCTTCCCTTCTTTTTCCCCCAGCAATCATCCCTGAGTTGAGGGTCTCAAAACCGGTACCCAGGTATCAAGAGCAACCTCTGCTATGCTTAACACATGCTAGGAAAAGAGAACAAATAAACCAAGAGGACCTGCACGCAGGCTAAAGGCACCCATTCTCCAGGACCGCTAAAGGCACCCATTCTCCAGGACCTGCCTGCCTTGCTCTCCTCTGCATCCCAAAGCCAGCATGGTCACAGGTACACAACAAACCTACTATGTGGCAGAAGGAAGGAGTGAACCACTGAGCAGCCAAGCGGGCTTTCTAGTTTCTATGGAATTGGGACAAAAGTAAGACATGACCTTGGGGGAACATGGGGATATAGTTCCTTGGAAAATATGAGTTTATAAACTAAGTCAGTAACTGAAGGGGGTCCAGAAACAATCACTCCAAAATACAGCATGCTGTCTTACCGTTTTGAATGAAAGGACCTCGGAGAGCAGCAGGTGCTGTAAGAGGCTTTATTCTAACACTTCTACCTCCTAATCATACAAGAAAAACAATAACCTCTGATCCTTCCACTGGGTTGTCATACACACCTGGACAGAGCTTTGTCAAGTGCCATTACATATAACTTTGCCATTCCGTATTCCTTAAGAATCCATAAGCCCACGCACTGTTCCATGGGTCAGAGACTTCATCCCAGGGCACTATGAGCTTCTCCAGGCCCACTGAAGCCCCCTAAAAATAATTTCCTATTCTCCTAAGTATTACGTACATTCTCCAAACCCTCTTCCACAAGGGAAGGGCAGACAAGCTTCTAGGTTAGTGAGCAATTATATATGTCATTAAGAGAGAAAAGAGAAACCTTTCTCACCTACAGAGACACATGTTAGATAACAGATACTTAAGGTTTAAATATTAATTTTTAAAAATTATTTTATTTTATGTATATGAGTATATTGCCCGCATATAGGTAAGTGCACCCATGCCGTGCAATGCCCATGAGGACAGAAGAGGCCGTTGGATCCCCTGGAACTGGAGTTACAGATAGTTGTTACCTGCCATGTGGGTGCTGGGATGTGAACCCGGGTCCTCTGCAAGAACAACCAGTGTTCTTAACCGCTGAGCCATCTCTCTAGCCCCTTAAAAATTATTTTGTATATGAGTTTGCCTGCAGGTATGTGTGTGTACCACATGCATACAGTGCCCAAGGAGGCCAGAAGAGGGCATTGAATCCCCTGAAACTGGAGTTTCAGTGGTTGTGAGCCATTATGTGGGGCTAGAAACTGAACCCAGGACCTCTGCAAGAACAGCCAGTGCTCTATAACCCCTGAGTCATTTCTCCAGCCCCTCAAATGTTAATCTTAAACACAATCGGTTCTTCCCACCATGTGCATAAGATAGCTGAATGTCTCTCTCTCCAACCTGATTTCCTAGAACTTGTCCATAGATTCACTACCCTCCAGTGATCCTCCCTTTTCATTTTTCGCTTCTTTTAAAAATTGTCTTATTTATGTTCATGTGTATGAGTGTTTTGCCTCCATGCGTGTAAGTGCACCACGTGTATAGAGCACCCATGGAGGCCAGAAGAGGGCATTGGATCCCCTGGAACTGGAGTTATGGACACTTGTTATCTGTCATGAGGCTGCTTGGAACCAAACCCTGGTCCTCTGCAAGAACATTCAGTGCTCTTAACCACTGAGTCATCTCTCCAGTCCTTTCTTTTTTCTTAAGCAGCTCAAGTTTGCACCAGCCTCAGGACCTGTGTTGTTGCTGTTACTCCTTCCAGGGCCTACCCACCCAGATCTGGGTGGTTGCCTCCCTTCAGTCCCAGGGCATGCCACCTCTGCAGAGAGCCTAGTCTGGACCCAGTTATGTAAAGGAGTCCCTCTATCAGGCCTTATCTTGTTTTCCTTTTTGCTTCTCTGTTTTGGGGACAGGGTTTTCTGTATCCCAGGTCAGCTGAGAAAGCCTCGGTAACCCAGGATGACCCTGAACATCTGACCCTCCTGCCTGTACCTCCCGTGGACTGGGATTATAGGTATGTACCACCACACCTGGTCTATGCTGTGCTGGGGATAGAATCCCAAGGACTCAAACATACTTGCTGGGCACACACTTGACCAAGTGAGCTACACCCCAATTCTGTTTAGTTTTCTTTCTGTTGAAGTTATTTTTGACAAAGTTGGCTTGAAATTCACTATGTAGACTAGCCTGGCCTCAATCTCAGTGAGATTTACCAGTAAGTGCTGGCATTAAAGCCATGTCCACCACTCCCGATTGGTTTTATAGTCTTAATAGCACTGATCACCCTCTGGAATTACCTCTCCCTTTCTCTGTTTCCTTGTCTCTCTTGCTACTGTGGTGAGCTCCATCCAACCCAGCCCCAGCCTTCAGTGGGCTTCCTCTCTGTTGAGCTTGATCAATGACATGAAGGTCCCTGCTTTAGATGGAGTTTATAAACTCACACAAGAAAAACCCTGTCAGTGCTCCAGGAAACTTCAGGAAGCCCCCACCCTCCATAGATCATTCACTGCAGTCTTTAGAACTGTAACATTTTCTGGATGAAAGAGGCCTGAGAGGGCTGGAGGAACCCAACCCAACGGCTCTGGCTCAGGGTTGTCCAATGGGGAGGAAACACAGAGGGGAAGCCATTATTTTATGAGGCAAGTCTGAGAGAGAGAGAGAGAGAGAGAGAGAGAGAGAGATATTGGCCTCGGGCCTGGGCACTATCCCAGTGGGCACTTGAGCACTTATCTCTGGTAATTCCTGCCTCCTGGAATACAGACCAGCCGGTGAGAACCAGATGCCAGCTGGCCAGTCATGAATGGACCCGCCTTCTGTTTTGTCCTCCTGGTGCCAGGCTTAGATCCCAGTGACCGCAAGACAAACAGGTAAAACACACAAAACAAAAAGAAGGCCTAACAAGGTAAGAGTTCTGAAGATGACCAGAGAGGGAGATGCAGACTAAGGAGATGAGACTGCAACTACTTCAGAACGCGGACCCTGGATCTCCCCACGTGCTGGACCATCTTCCTGGACCCTCTGCCCCTCTCCAGTCACGTGAGTCCGCCTTAACCATCCCTGGCCACTCTGCCCAAGCCCCATCTCTGCAGGGAGGCCTTTCCTGAGCCTTGGGTCTGCCCAGATCCGGCCCAGGCCGCCCCTAGACGCATCCTAGGGCACGCACAATAGAGCCAGACACAAGGATAGGGCAGAGACCGGCGGGGACCACGCACGCGGAGCACCTGCGCGCCCCACTGGCCCTGCCGTTTGTGCACCGGTTCCGGACGCCCTGGCCCAGCCCTGCATCCTGGGGCCGGAGGAGGGATGCTCAGGCCCAGAGCCTCCAGCACTTACCGCAAACGCCCCGCTGTGACCGCGTTGCCGGTGTGTGGCCGGAGCACCGCTAGGAACAGAAGCCGCATGTCGCCGCCGCTGCCCGGGCCACTGACTGGGCGACTGCCGGCCCCAGGCTGGGAGTAGGGGGTGGGGGGAGGGCCAGGTCCCGCCCGCCTTCCCACAGGTCCAGGAGGGGGAGAGGGGGATGAAGATAGGGAGGGGGATGAAGACAGGGAGGGGAGGGGTAAGCGAAGGAGAGAATTGGAGGAGGAAGGGGTAAGGGAGGAGGAGGGGAGGGAAAAAGGATAGGGAAGGGAAGGAGGGAGGAGGGGAGGGGAGGCGAGGGGAGGGTTAGGAGAAGGGAGGTCTGGGGACTGGAGGGGACCCAAGGGGATTGGCGGGTGGGAGGGGTCTCCAGCCCAGGTGTCAGGCTGGCGCGAGCTCAAGAAGGGGGAGGGGTTCCCACTGTCACAGCGACTGGGAACACAGGTTGTGTCTTTTCCCAATGATGACCATGAGTAGGTTCCCAGGAGCTGTGGGCAGCTCCCCCAGGGACTAGCTGAGACTTGGAGTGCCTACTTGCTGAGAGGGACCAACCTCATTTTCTGCACACTCACCTTCCAGGGGACCCTGGGCCTCAGGATGCCCTAGACTGTGTCTCATTTCCATGGTGCAGGCAAATGGGTCCTTTTCCAGAACTTGGCTCTCCTACCTAAACCCCCAGGGCAAGGGAAGGAATGACTGCACAGAGGGCTGGGTAAGAAGCCAGGAATGGTACAGGCTTGTAATCCCAGCATTGCCATGGCTGAGGCAGAGGACTGTTGTGACCTGAAAGTCAACCATGTTAGGGAGAGAATGCCAGAAGTCCAGGGCTGCAATGCCAGGAAGATGCTTTACCAATGGAGCCACCCATAGCCCTAGGAAAGCTGCTTTTGAAGACTGTCTGTGAGGCTAGGAGGCCATGTTTGTGGGGAGCCAAGTGTCCCGAGGAGCCCAAGGCTGAGCACCTACCTCCTGACTGAGCAAGAAGCAAGAGGAAGGGGAAGCAGAGAGGCTTCTGGCAGTATAACATCTGGGTGAATTCATGGTATTTAAAAAAAAACATGTACATATTTAAGGACAATTGGCACTGTTATCTAACCAACATTTTAAATTCCTTATCCCTGAAACATTGCTTCTCACCCTAAAACATCCTAACAGCTTCAAAAGGACTAAGGGTAGATTTCAGCCCCTGGTATGGGTTTCTCTTACCAGCTCTGCATCACCTGGCCTCTGGCTTGTCAATGATTGAAGCTAAGGGGGTCCTGCAAGGAGACTGTGAGGCTGGAGACTTCTCTGCATTGACCTACTGCCTGCTTTCCATAGAGTAGGGAGCAGGGGAGACTTTTTATAGAACTACCAGGTTATTGTCTCTTCTCTGTCTCATCAGTCAAGACTGCTGAAACTTCTTTTCTCTCCCTTTAAAAATTTTTTTTTTTTAAATTTTGCCAGGCATGGTGGCTTAAGCCTGTAGTCCCAGCACTTGGAAGGCAGAGGCAGGCAGATCTCTGTGAGTTCAAGGCCAACCTGGTCTACATAGTGAGTTCCAGATCATTTAGGGCTACAGGGAGACCCTGTCTGAAAAGACAAAAAAAAAAAAAAAAAAAAAAATTTTTTTAAATTTTATTTAGAGCATTATGGTTCAGCTGGTAAAGGTGCTAGCCACTAACCTGGACAATCTGAGTTAGATCCCCAGGACTCATATGGTAAAAAGAGAACTGGTGATTGGCTTGGCATGGTGGCGCATGCTTGTAGTCCCAGCACTTGGGAGGCAGAGGCAGGTAGATCTCTGCGAGTTTGAGGCCACCATAGCCTACATAGTGAGTTCCAGGCCAGCTAGGGCTACAGGGAGACCCTGTCTCAAAAAGAACGAAAGAAAAAAAAAAAATGATGGATGATTCAAAGGCAGCTGTGTACCCAAGGCCCCACCATGGGTGATGGCTCAGTAAAGCTGGAACCCTGGAGCTCTCTGCATGATTAGCAGGCAGCTCAATAGATCAGAGTCTCCTTTCCTGAGAGGACCTTATTGCTTATACAACCTTGCTGGATGGAGGGACCTTGTGAATCTGGTAAGTTTCAGGGACTTCTGAGACTTGTGAGTTGTCTTCCTAAGTTTTATGGGGCCCCCTTTAGGAACTTCCACACAATGTTTCAACTGGGAGGAAACTGCTACACAACAGAGGGAGGGGGGAAAATATAAACATTCCTAACAGAATTTAGGAATAGGCTAGAGAGATGACTCAGTGGTTAAGAGTACTGGCTGCTCTTTCGGAGGACCTGGGAGTGGTTCCTAGTACCTGCATAGCATCTCACAACTGCCTATAACTCTGGTTCCATGGGATCTGATGTTCTCGTCTGGCCTCTGCAGGCACCAAGTACACATGTGGTACAAATACATACATGAAGACACTCTCACACACATACAGTAAATCTTTAGGGACTGGAGAAATGGCTCAGCAGTTAGGAGCAGCCAGTGCTCCTGTGGCAGACCCAGGTTCAGTTCCCAGCACTCACATGGCAGCTCACAACTGTTCTTATGACCTCTACAGGCACTGCACGCATGGGTGCACTTAAATACATGCACAGAAAACACACACATAAAATAGAAAATTTTTTAATTACAAAAATTGTTTAAAAAATATGAGTGACTATATAACCTGTAGTAACCAAAGAAGCCAGGAAAGTAGAAAGATACCATGTGGGAGGGGGAGAAGAAGCTCTAGAAGGGGACAGTAGGACACAGGTGCTATCAAGGAGGAAATGGGAAATATGGAGGGGGCTTTGACTGGGGAAGGGGGAAAGAGGGTAATACAGAGGGAGGAAGGAGAGTTAAATAACAATAAGGATAATTGATTTACTTTTGGGTTTTGTTTTGTTTTTTGAGAGGTTTCCCTCTAGCCATAGCTGGCCTAAAACTCACTATGTAAACTAGGTTTGCCTCAGTCTCATAGAGATCTGCCTGCATCTGCCTCCTGAGTGCTGGGATTAAAAGCATGCACCACCATGCCCACCTAAGGATGTTTGAAAAACATAGGAAACATTATACTTAATATACTAAAATGCAGAGAATAAGTGACCAAGGGATGCCCAGCCCCAAAGATATATCTAAAATGCAACTCCTATACCTAAGGTCAGGAGCTTCACAGATGAGGGGGCTGAAAGATTCTAAGAGACCAGGACACTTGCTGCTATGTACTATCTTTCAGACATGAGAGGGAAGCTGCACCCATGACATATCAACAATATGTTTCCCTAATCAAGACTTATATAATGACATCAGCTGACATCCCAATGTGGATGGGGGAAATTTCACAGGGTCCCCCACCTTTAAGTGAAGAGCTGCAGGCAATCAATGGATACTGACAAAGAATCAGATTTCTCCAGAAGAGCTCCCTGATAGGTTATCGAATTCCAAGTGATCAGCCCTAAACACTTGTACATTCAAGTTACACTAAATGGACTCAGTAGGTTGCATATATATATGTAATAATTTTAGAGGTCAGGAAATTGAGAGGGTAGGAGGGCATGGTGAAGGACTGGGAGGGGAAGAAGGAAGGATGGAAATTATATATAGTACTCGTATATGAAATTCTATAAAAATGAATTAAAATACATTTAGGGGTTAGAGAGATGGCTCAGTAGTTAAGAGCATTGGCTACTCTTGCAGAAGACCCAGATTCAGTTCTCAACACTCACATGGTGGCTAACAACTATCCATAACTCTATTTCCAGGTGATTTGATGCCCTTTTCTGACTTGTGCAGGCATTGCATGACAGAAGTACATTTAAATACATGCAGGCAATATGCTCATACCCATAAAATAAAAATAAATACACATTTTGGGATGCAGGTATAAAGATGAATAAGATTGTTTGATGTTCTGTATGAAATACACAAAAAAATCAAATAAATAAATACAAATTTTAAAATACATATTTAAAAAGAAAAAAAATAATTCAGGAATGGAATCAGAGGCTGGGTGTGGTGGTATATATCTGCAATCCACACTCAGGAGGAGGAGGCAGGAGGATTAGGAGTTCAAGGTTATTCTGTTACATAGCTGAGCACCTGTCTACTCATATAGGCCTTCAGGCCTTCCCAGCCCAAGGCTTCCTTGGCTTCTTCTCCAAGGTTCTAAAAAACAAAGTAGAGAGGCAGATTGTCAACTTGGCAGCACCATGCTGGACACTCTAGAACCTGTGGGCTGTTTGTTCTTGCTGGTGGCTATGGGCATCCCCTGCCCTCCACTGCCAATGCACCTCCTCAGGCCCTGCACATGCCCAGGCTCTGCCTCTGGTCCCATGGCTATGCTCTGCTGTCTGCCCTGTGATCTCCCTTTACAAGTGTCCCATAAATCACAGGGCAGATGCCTTCAAGACACCTGCCATAGCTCCAGCTCCTTTCCAAATAATCCCACTGTGGTGGTCAGAGTGCTTATGTCCCCTATAAAGCTGTAGTGAGCCAGAGTTCTCTCTGTAGCAGGAATAGAAAATACACTTTGTGAATGAAAGTTCCCAGAAAAAAAAAAAAAAATCATCTTCAAACTGAACCTTCTACAAAGCTGATCAATTGATTAGAACTTCAGTGATTATGGAGAGTTTGGAATGTTGTAGGTCCAGTCTATTACCCTTTCTCTTGGGCTATCTTTAGCCCCTAAATAGCCATTCCTTGCTAATCTCTGTGTCTGACTTAACATCCCATGACTAACAGAGAAAAAAACTTTTGGGATATATTAACTTAGCAGACCACCAGCTTCCATCAATCCAAGGGCTAAGAAGCCTGTCAGATAACATCTACAGCCCATAGCAGAATTTGCCCCACTTTGCTATAACCTGCCTCTTTAACGTCTCCACTGGTGTTTGAAAAGTGTCTTGATTTATGGCTTTCTTTGTTCTGTTGCTATAAAAACTTCATGAAACTATTACCAGTTTGGAAAATGGAATTTGGGGTAACCTGAATCTGTGTACCTAGGCTATGGTCATGCATATTTGGCTCCAGAAAACACTCTTATCCCCTTAGAGGAATTGTACTTTTGCATCAACAGCTTTCAGAAGAAGTACAGGAAAGAGACTGCACATGGTGGGTCCTTGAAGGACAAAACACAAGCTGGGTGTGGTGGTGCACACCTTTAATCCTAGCACTTGGGAGGCAGAGGCAGGCAGATCTCTGTGAGTTCAAGGCTAGCC